AGAAACCCAAACAAGTGAGAACTTCAAACTCAGCAAAACACTTTTGGTCTGCGGGTAGAGAGCGGGCCTCTTCCGGTTAAGAGCTAGGCGGGGCGCGCAAAGCACTAATTGGGGAGACAGGGCGCGGGCGGGCGGAGCCTCAGGCGGCCGGAGGCAAGGGTGCAGGCGGTGCCGAAGAGCTTGCACAGGAAAAGGTACGCCTTGGACAGGAGCCAGAGGCGAAGTCCCGGAGGGAGAGCGAAGTGGTGTTGCCGTCAACGGCGCGTCAGAATCACCATCCTCGAGTGCTGCGTGGGGAGGGACGTGACCAGGTCAACGCCCGAGGGGTAGAGGAAGACCAGGTAGGTGAAGTGCAATAGGTGCCACCAACTGGTAAGGAGAGGCCCAGGAGATGAGGAGGACCACGAAGACGATGAGCACCAAAATCAGCAAAACACCCACTGACAACCAATGTGTTTCGCTCGATCGGGCTCTCCTGGACGGTCTCTTGGAACCCTCGCTTGGGCCGCTTTGGAAGCCGACCGAGCCGTCTTGAGGCCGGTTAGGAGCTTCTTGTGTCGTCTTGGGCCATTTGGGGCCATCTTGGTATTATCTCTGCTATTTTGGGAGCCGTCTTGAGAGCCATCTCGAGGACGAAACGACCGCCGGAGAACAACATCAGGGGAGCGGTTTCAGAGGGGTGCGTGGTGCGGGGGGAGGAGTCGGCTTTCGAAAAACAGTAGATAACCTTTCAGACACCAGACGAGCATTCTAACGCGCTCACTCCGTGCAGGAACGGTGGCGGATCATCGCTGACACGACCTGAAGTCTGAAAGGAGACCATCTTGGGGCAACCCATGGGCACAAGAGAAAGGAGCGAATAGAGCCACAAATGGATCGCGTCCAGCACAGCGAGCATGCCACGCGACGGTACCATCCCGCACCGAGTGTCCTGCACGCGCGCAGTGCCGAGGGACTAATGGAGGAACGCCGTGGCGTCTACCGTGCGGTGCCCCGAAGGGTCTTGCTTGCTCGCCCTCCTGGGATCCATCACGGTCGGGTTGGAGCCGTCTGGGGGTCGGAGGTGACCCGGCACTGGTTCCGGCCAGCGGGAAGGGCAGGCGGGTCCGACGCTCTGGGCTCGTTGCCTCCTGCGGCCTCCGGGAGCCATTTCCAGGCCCGGGGGGTGGAACACTTGCCTCTCAGATGGACCCCGGGAGGGCTCCGGGGCTGGATTTTGAGCGGATGTGGCTTCACCCCCCCAGTTCAGGAGGGGTAAGAACACACAGACACAAGTATAATTGTCGACCCCCAGGACAAGATGGGAAAAGATGGGAAGTGGGGGGGGGGGGAAGACGACAACCCAGAAACTAACTGGCAAAGTGGTGGGGATCCTGGGCTTTTGGTGTGTACTTCTTTGCGTGTCCCCGGGCCCCTTATATCATCAGTGCAGCCCCCTGGCCGCCTCCTGGGCTCCTGGGCTTGGCATCGCTCGGACGTGTGCATTTTTCCTTCGGCGAGGACCATCGAGGAACATCCTTGATCATTTGGCGAAAAAACCACGCAGGAAACCGAAAAAAACACAAGGAATGGACGTCCGAGCGATGGCGAGTGGGAGCCATCACGTGGGGCCAGTTTTTCTCGAGCTGCGTCCAGCCGTGGCCACGGGCGTCACGGAGCGCCCCAAGACCTCGGGCGCCAGAGGGCGTCGACGTCGCGCTGTCGTCGTGAGGTGGCCTTTCGTGTGGTTTCAGGCACGGTTGCCTCCTCCGCGATCGTGTCGGGGGCTACAGGCGAACCCCACCCCTACCCACCACGATTTCTGAGGGGGAGGGTGGGATTCACTTCGCTCGGGAGCTTCCGAACGAATTGAACCCCACCCTCCCCTTCAGAAACCGTGGGGGGTAGGGGTGGGGTTCGCTTGTGGCCCCTTATCGTAGCGGATCGAACGACGTCGCGGCCTTGCGCCCAGACCCCAGTCTCGATGCGTTCCGGTGGGAGCCGTGTTTTTTTTTGCGTTTCGGTAGGCTCTACAAGCGTTATTCGCTAGAGTGCGTTCGAACGCGAGCAGGACGGCATGTGAGAAGTGTTGAATTTTCCCTCTGCCCCGTGGCCACTCGAATCGCAGTCGTGCCGACGAGTGCGGTTTTCGAGGAGTTTGGCGGCGCCCTGAGCCCCTCGGGGTATGCTATGTTTGTTTTGCAATTGTCTGCCGTCTGTCCAATGTGTCATGCTGGTCAGATTGTCATTGGGACTGGCTTCGGGATCCGCCTCCTGGCTCGACTGGCTTTGGTGGATGGTTCCCCGGGGGGGCAGCCGTGCGACTTCTTGTTCTCCACACGGGTCGTGCCATCTTTTGGCTGCCGTTTTCGTTGTAGCATCGTGTCTTTTTGTTTTGTTCTCTCTCTCTCTCTATATATATACCCTTCTCTGCCTCTCTTTCTCTGTCTCTCTTCCCCTCCCCATCTCTCCTTGCCCCTGTCTAAATCATCTTGCCCTCTTTCTCCAGGGTGGATGCCAGGACCCAGCAGCAAGCTGGCATGCGTCATGCAGACAACATGCGAAAGCTCTTCGCGTTGGCGGACCAAGACGGCGATGGAAGGCACTGGCTTCTATCCCTCTAATTCCTTCCTCTTCCTGCTCCTTCCCTGTTTGTCGTCATCTTCCTCCCTCCCCTTCTTATTTCTCCATGCTCCGTCCTCCCTTCCTCCCCGTCCAGAAGCTCCTTTTGCCATTGTTCACACCTCCAGTGGAATGGTCCATAGCGCCAAGATGCAGATCTCGGTGCAGCCGCGGGTCTGGCGCTCCACTGCGAGCAGGCCCTTGCAGCTCGCAGTGCTGGACTCCGTCTCTCACGATGCATCTTCGGGGGACCTCGTCTGCCCCCCCGAAGTGGTCACTTTTCCTGTGCCCGACGCGGGCTCGATGCGGACTCGACGAGGGGTCGACGTGGATCCGACACGGACTCGACACGGATTCGACGTGCCCGACACGGATCCCACATGGACTCGACGCGGATCGCGGCGCGACGGGACAGACGAGGCCCCCCGAAGATGCAACATGAGGTCCCTCGGACCGCCTTTTTTTATATCTTGTCGTCGATCGAGACTACGTGCAGCATGGCGCAGCCAGTAAGACCTTGGCATCAAATGGTCGTCGGACTTAGGTGCACGACCCCCGCGGGGAGCGGGGGGGGGCAGGCGCCCCGCCATCCCACGTGTTTGCGGAGCGTGGGCGCTCCGACAGGGAAAGGAAGCGAGGCGGTCTCCCGAGGACAGCCTTTTCTTTTGACGCCCGACATGGGTACGGAAAGAATGGGTACAATGCCGAACAGCAGATCCTGTTCATTTTGAACTGGACTCGCTGTCCACGCCGCCGCGGCCTGTGTCCATTTGAGACAGAGGGCCGCCTGCCCAACAGCGACCGCTGTTGGTTTGGGACAACATGTGTTGTTGGGAATTGTACCCATTCTGTCCGTGCCCATTTCGGGCGTCCAAATTTTCCCTCGCCGAGCCTCCGCGCAGGCATGTCGTCGGCGCCACCCCACCACAACTAATACTCGGTGTGCGTCGCCCCCCCCCCCCCCCCCTGGGGCGACGCGCGCACCGGGAAGTCTTATAACATATGCGTCGCGGCGGGCGTTTTCTGGCCGCACCGCTCGGGAAGCGATCTACTCCAAGATGGGTGTACTATATGCTCGGGTCGGACGCGCGCCTCCAAGGAGGACATACTGTGTTAGTATGTCCCCGTGCGTCCCATGTCAGTGCTGTTGCCAAAAGCGGCCGAGGGGTGCCAGAAGAGAGACTTCGGAGGCAGCCGGAGAGGGCTACCGAAGGCTTCACCGGCGGGGGATGAGGCCAGGAGGGGGGCAAGGAGCGACAGGAGAAGGGACTGGGAGAGTTCAGTGCCGGTTTTAATACATGTTCCGCGTGCGGATCATGTTTTAAAATTACCCCAGTGCGACCCTACCTAGAAGTTGGAGCCCCTAGGAAAGCAGCATTAGTTGCTATGCGGTGCTATGCTATGCTATGCCATGCTATGCTGCGCTATGCTATGATATGCTATGCTATGCTATGCTATGCTATGCTATGCTGCGCTATGCTATGCTATGCTATGCTATGCTATGCTATGATAAGTGATGGTATGTCATGCTGCACTGTGCTATGCTAAGCTATGCTATGGTATGCTATGCTATGCTAAGCTGCGCTATGCTATGCTATGCTCTACTATGCTATGCTATGCTATGCTATGCTATGCTATGCTAAGCTGCGCTATGCTATGCTTGGCAATGTTATGCTATGCTATGCTATGCTATGCTATGCTAATGCAGCGCTGCGCTATGCTAAGCTAAGCTAAGGTATGCTAAACAAACCCTCTAGGCAGACCCTCTTGTTTTTGATGTGCCTTTCCTTTGATTTGCTTTTGAGTTTGCTTTGCTTTGCTTTGCTTTGCGTTGCTTGTGCTTTGCTTTGCTGTCGCTGCTGTTGCTTTGCCTTTGCTGTGCTGCTATGCTATGCTATGCTCTACTATGCTATGCTGTGCTGTGCTGTGCTGTGCTGTGCTGCGCTATGGTACGCTATGCTATGCTGCGCTATGTCATGCTATGCTGGGCTATGCTATGATATGCTATGCTGCGCTATGCTATGCTACGCTATGCTATGTCATGCTATGCTCTGCTATGCTAAAGCTCAGCGAAGCTCAGATGAAGGTGAGCTAAGCTAAGATAAGCCTGAGCTAAGATGAAGCTAAGCTAAGCTGATATGAAATAAGCTATGCTATGATGAGATAAGCAACGCTAAGCTAAGGGGACGTAATTGGGGGAACCGCGGGGCGGATACTGGGGGAACCGCCCGGGCCGGTTCCCACTGCCCGGCCCTTTAAGCCAAGAGGGTAAGAACCCTTCTAGGCAGAGCCTAGGTAGGAAAGTATAGGGATTTCCTCTGGCGGAGCACTGGGGCCGCCCAAGGCGGCCGAAGGGGGGGCGCAACGATGGGGGGCCTGTTCGGCCCAGGACGGAGCCA